AGGGTAAGATATAAACTGGGCAGATGATTTCATGGGCCATCTAAATCTTTCTTTATAGAGTATAACATGAAAAGATAAATTTGATGCTATAGCAACCATAAATTTGATGCTAGGCTGAGAGTTCTAAAAAAAAAAAAAGCAAGACTAGGTTAACATTTACAGGAGTAGGTGCAAGTCTGTAGCAGCCAGAAAGACTGGGTGCAGGTTCAGAGCCCTGCAGAAGGTCCCAACAGCTTATAGACATTTGGAGTCCAGGATGACCACACACTGCTAATACCTGGAATGGATCATTAGGGAAGGATGTGGGCAGGCACTTAAGTTACTGTCTGCTAAAATAAGATTCTATGGTTCCTGAGTCAGGACTACCCTGGGAAAACTGGGGCCAACCTATAAAAGCTTACAGATCTCCCATCAGGCGCTGTTATAATTTAGATTAAGTGGCAGCCATGGGGATGAAATATTTCAACAGTTAATGCCTTGCATCCTAACAAAGTTGTCTGTCTGAAGCACTTGAGTCTGTAGGATATAGAGCCCTTGTTCCTAAAACGTCATAAAGGCAAGGTAAAGCCTATACACAGGTGTATGTGTGTATGTATATATATATATACACATGTACATACACATATGTATGTATGTGTATCTATATATGTATATAGCACCAGACCAAGGACTATCATTCTGTACAATTGATTACACATAATGAATAAGGGAATTTCTTCAAACTTGGAAGCTTTTTCTCTCGAATCTGCTTAGTAGAATAAACTCAGGTATCCTGTTTATTTTACACGAACTCTTTGTAATAACATACTCAATTATTTCAAAATATATTAGTACTATGAAGTCATCAAGAAATTAAAAAACTGAAATTATTTTCTGGGTTTCATATCATTGTAAGCCCCAGGCCAAGAGAAGTGGCCTTTTCACTTTATATATGGAAACATTCAGTATTTTTACAATGATTTGTAAACTCATGTAAGGAAAAGGAAGAAATACAAAGGGCTTAAGCTGTGTAGGAAACAAGGAAATTTTATACTGTTGTGATTTGAATTTCAATTTCCACCACTGTTCATATGGTAACATTCAATACTCTAATATAACCAAGTTAGTAACTAAAGAAAAGTGGTCCAGATTTGTCACCCTTCTTGACATCCTGTGCCATTTTATCTTTTTTGAAGTTGGTTTGAAAATATCAGCAATTTCTTTTCTTTGTAACAGTTTTTAGAAAGAATAACCTGTTATAATAAGTGACAATGATAACTCTACCATCCATGTGATACTGGGCAGATCACTTAATTTCTCAGGACCTCAGTCTCCTCATCTGTAAAATGAGGGGATTGGAAAAGAACTGAGACCCCTTCCAGCTCTAAATCTAAGCTGCTATGCTTTCTGTTTTTTTTTCAAAAGGCTAGCTTTTGTTTTTGCATCACTATCATTTCCAAATACAATCCTCACTCTCTTGTAACAAAGAATTAAAAAAAAAAAAGAGGGAAAAATCCCAGTTCAGCAAAGATAACCAATGTATCCAACTAAGTCTGACAGCATATGCATATTCCTCACCCTGAGTCCACTACCAACTCTGCATAGAAGTGAGAAAGGTGCATTTTTTCATTTCTTCAAGACCAGACTTGGTCATTACAATTACACAGCACTCAGTTTCTTTTCTGTTCTATTTACATTGTTGTCATTGTGAATATTGGTTTTTTGGGTTCTGTTTACTTCACTTTTACACTGGTTTCTATAAGCATTCCTGTGATTCCCTGAAGTCATACTCATATTTTCTTAGTGTGCAGTTACATTCAATCAACATTATGCACTTCCTACACACTAAGCACTGTGATACAAAGAAAGGCATAATGATAGGTCCTGCCTTCCAGATGCTCACAATCTAATGGGGGGAAAACAACACATAAAAAGACTGAAAAAGGGGAGGGAGAGGAAATTACCCAGGGGAGTGAGGCATGATGGAATTCTGCAACCAAAATGGAAAATGATCTGGGGAGGCATGAGTTCCCAAGGTGATTTCATCTTGCAGAATGAGGAGTTTCTAGAGATGATGAAGTCTAGGAAAGTAGCCATATAGGAAATGATGAGAATTCCCTGGGTGTTATTCTTAAATAGTTGAGAATCAGGAAAAGCTCCCAAATCAGAATGAGAGAGACCCCTGGGGCAGGCCCTGCTTGAGTTCTACAATATTCATGTACAATTTTAGTGATTCCCAGTTAATGGGCATCTATTATCTACAAATAGTGCTGCTATGAATATGTTGATGTATTGGTTAACATGTTGGTGACTTGCTGTTTTTTAAGCCTTAAGGTATATTCCATGCAGTGGCATCTCTAGGTAAAAAATGTTTGGATAAATGGACATTTCAGTTACTTTCTCAGAATTACTTCAAATTGTTCTCTAGAATGGTTGGACCAGTTAACAGGTCTACCAATCATGTAGTAGTGTACCTGTCTTTCTACAATTCCTCCAACATAGAGTATTTCCATTTTTGTCATCTTTACCAATTTACTGGGGTGAAGTGAAACTTCCAACTTTTTTTGATTTGCATCTCTTTAGGAAATTGGAGCATTCTTTCATTTGGTTAATAGTTTGCAATTCTTCTGAGAATTGTTGGAATATCCTTGATCACATCCATTCAGGGATGGCCCTTGGTTTTATGTTTGTGTGTATTCATTAAAACATAGCATTCAGTTTTAAACATATATATGTATGTTTATATACACACACTTGTATCTTACCTGCTTCCCTTCTTATCCTAGTTGCAGATTTTGTGCAAAAGCTTTTCAATATCATGCAACTGAAATCATCTATATTTTGTGAATGCTTCTTTCTCTTATTAATAACTCTTCCTAGCCCTAGCCATGGAAAAGTACTTAATCTGGCTCTCTTCTAATTTTTTTTATGATGGTGCTGCTATAGTTTCACAAAATATGTGCCCTCCAGTTTTAGAGTAAAAGAAAAAACAATTGTTATACACAACTTTGGAGGTTTCTTTATCAACAATATTGTCAAAAACTCCAAGAAAAGGCCATCTACATTTTTGCCTTACCATCCTCTCTTCCTATTCCTCAGTTTCTTGCAATTTTCCTCTGACTCCACTACTCAATTAAAACTGCCTTCTCCAAGATTACCAAAGACGGATATCTTAATTACTAAAACTAATGCCCTTTTCTTACTCCTTCTTTTCAATATCTCTGCAGCCCTTAGCATTGTTGCCTACCCCCTCCTCCTGAATTTTCTTCCCCAAGTTTTCATGGCACTGCTCTCTTGCTTCACTTTCTATATAATCTGTGTCCTTCACAAATTTCCTTCACTGGATCACCTTCCATGTCCAACCCCCAACATATCCAAAAATATAACTCATCTTCGCCCTCAAACTCACCCATCCTCCAAACTTCCCCATTTCTGCTAAGGGTACCACCATTCCTCTATTCACCCAGGTTTGCAACCTGTCATTCTCACCTCTTCCTTGCCCCCCACATTCACTCCTTTGCCAAGAGCTGCTGATTCTACCTCTAGGTCCATGTTCCTGTCAAAGTGACCTATTGAACATTCTCTGAACGTGGCACCTCATTTCTCATTTCTGTGCTTTTGCAAAGTCTGTCCCCCATGTCTTGAATGTACTTCTTCACCTCTGCCTCCTGGAATCCCTAGCTTCATATAAGGATCGGTTCACATACTACCTTCTATGAAAGCCTTGCCTATATGCTTAGGTATTAGTGCTCTCTCCCTCTTCAAATTAACATGTATCTGTTTCCATATGGTATTTCCCCAAGAGAATACAAGCTTCTTGAGGGCAGAGACTATTTTTCATTTTGTCTTTCCCCTTCCTTAACAAATGTCTGTTGGATTGGATCAGCATATACTAAGTTAAAAAAACAAGTGTTTAACTTAGAAATTCAAATTTATTTACAAAATTTCTCCAAAAACAAAGAAATTCTATTTCTTTAAAATACTGCAACTGATAATTTCCCCCCAAATCATTCATACATAATTTCTACCTGTTGTATAAAACTGTTCTTGGTATAAAACTCCACAGGAGAAGCAGAAGTGTATTTTGGGTTGAGTCAATGACTTCACAAGATGATGCAAGAAGTAATGTAAAAACATTTCCCCCCGCCCCAAAAAACTCTTTATCCAGAAGAAATCTACTCTTACTCAGGAGGAAGGGTTAAGAACATCTTGGTATACTACTTGAGTATAAAAAAGAAAAGTGACAGAAGTTGGGTTTTTAGACAGCTCTTAATTCACAATAAATCTGGCCTTTATATTGTTATAGGATCTAGTACTGATTGTTTAGATACAAGTACTGTGATAAGTTCTGTCAGAATGAAAATTAATTTGGCTTTTAAACAAATCACTATTGTAAAAAGGGTACAGTATTTTTCTGCCAGTGAAAAAAATACAAACTCTCTTCTGATTTCATCAACCTGGTAAAATACTACATAAAAACAATCTTGGAGATATATATATGCAAGAAAATTGGATAAATAAGATTATATACTTCTTTAACTGGAATTCTCACTGACAGTAGAATGGCTGGATTGACTTAGAGGTTACATATGTGAGATTTTTTTTTAATTGCTGTGACAACAGAAACAATATACAATCAAAATGACTACTATTTAAAAGTCTTTCTTTGACCAAAAATAAAGTTCTTCCAAATCTGCCAAATGAATTAAAAACAATTAAAAAGAAAAGATCCAGATTACAGGGGCATAATTTAACATGCTGTAATTATAAAAATGTTTTGAAATTTAACTGGGGTGAAGGACCCTTTTCTCCATGATAGCTTTGTGAATGGGAAATATCTAGAAAGAAAGTCATTCCTGAGAAGTGAGAGATTGAAACCAAAACAAAAGGAACAATTCAGTGTCCTTTTAACAATCATTAAGATAGAATGGGTTACTATTAACAGTCAGTGAAAAAACCTGAACCAGTCCTGCTCCAGAGATCTGGTCGTTTGTAATGAAACAGCAAGTGGAACAATAAAGTATCAGATAAATAGTAAATGTTGTTTTATTGTCAGCTTTGTAGTTTATTTCAAGTGCAAGGTTGGCCAGCTAAGCTACACATCCCAATACCGACTGAAGTGATGGCTTCTGCTGGTTTCTCCACTTCTGATTCTCCAATTTTTTTTCTACCACTTTAGTTCACCCAAACAGTAAAAGTAACACAATTGCAATTGAGTTTACTATTATCAATGGTACTGTAAAACAAACAAAAACAAGCACTTGTTAATATAAACAAAGGACATTTGGAAAATAAGAAGGAACACTTGTCAATGAATAGTGAAGCAGAAATATCTGACTATACATGTAAATTATTTGGAGGGAACAGAAATTGACTGACACCTCCTGGTGTGTGGAATTCAAAAATCTTGCACTAAATGTAAGATTCAACAGTTCAACACTTAAGTTCTTAACAAATTTATCTGCTTACCAGACATCATAACTAGAATAACCCTGCTGGTTTGCAAAATACTTAAATCTGGAGCTTCTGAGCTTATTTTTCTCACAGTTTTCAACAGAACTAGAGGTCTGTGCAAATTGCTATGCCTCTAGATTGACTTTTAAAACTTTAAAAAAATCCAACAAGAACATTAAGTGCTAAGTTTTGGCCTAAGCTTCAAGAAGAAGCATAACTAGATCTGAAGATTAACTTGCTTACATTGGGGAAAACCAGCTAAATAAATAATACTTACTTTTAAATGGCACTTAAGGTTTATAAAACAGTGTCCTCACAACAATCTCAGAGCTAGGTAGTACAAGTATATCTTTACTTTAAAGATGAGGAAACTGTTTCTAAAAGATAAAGTGACTTGCCTGAGGACACAGTGACCAAGCAAGCCACTGACACCAAATACAGTGATTTTTCAGATTGTAAAGGTTCTTAGGTAATACAACTATAAAAAGGAAGCCAGGGTTCATCATATAAAGTAAGAAGCCTATGCTCCTCAAACTAAAACACAGAATTAATACTTTATAGGGCAGGATATAATAAAATAGCTAAACTGTTTCTTTTCCTTACCTCTCATAACTGTTCGTACGGATCGAATAAGGTTCATTAGCTGTGATTTAATTCCTGGCTCCTCTCCAAATCCTCCAATTCCCTGGTCTGTTCCCCAGCCAACTGCATAATACAAAGATGATTAGCTATGTTAAAATTTATTATGCACTCACCTTACTACATCAGCAACAGAGCCATCCATCTTGAAAAAGATTAATTCAAGCTACTGTTAAAGATTCCAAACTATCAGGAAATTGGATTACCCCTTAGATAAAACAATAATAGTTAAATATTTTAGGTCAAATATCTTTTACTTTTGATTGAAAGCAGAAACAGATATAAAAAATAACTCATTTATAATGCATTTTTTATTTTATAAAGCAAACCAAACTGAAATATCCAATGATACTCAATTCAGAGAAGCAATAACATGATATCCTATCCTATTTTTAAAAAGAAATAAAGAACTTTCATTTCTCAGATCAAAACTACAGTCAAGGCAAATTAGGGGGTTGAATAATTGCTTAGCTAGTTCAGAACAGTAACACACAATTTTTATATATAATTGGGGGTAGGGGTAAGCTCTGTTGTCTGCTTTACTTGAAGGAATTATTGTGTTGACCTGGACTTAATTAGTTACAATTTTACAGTTTAAGTAGCATTTTCCCATTTAATGATAATGAGATCTGCTCCTTGATCTGAAATCTGTAAATTTATATTTCAGCAAAATCTGTGGTCAGCTGCTTCCCCTCATTCTTTCCAAATGATCTTCCCATCTTTTCTATTTTATTTCTCTCATCTTATAGATCTTTGTGGGCAAGTAGGTGGTGCAGTGGAAAAAGCAGTGGACCTGGAGTCAGGAAGACCTGAGTTCAAATTCAGCCTCAGACACTTCCTAGCTGTGTACCCCTGGGCTAGCCTCAGTTTCTTCATCTGTAAAATGGAGAAGGAAATGACAAACTGTTCCAGGATGTTGGCTAAGAAAACCCCAAATGAGGTCACTAAGAGTCGGAAGGGTTGAGAGTGAGAAATTAAGGATGTCACTCAGGCTGTGAGCCTGGATCACTGGGAGGATGGTTGTATACTTCACAATAATAGGGAAATTAGGAGGAAGATAGAGTTTCAGGGAAAAAACAATGAGTTCAGTTTTGGACACAGTTTAAGATGGCTATGGGACATCCAATTTGGAAAGTCCAGAAGGTAGTTTAATTTATACTTCTCTACAATGTGACTTTTGGATAGTTTCTTTCAAACCACAGACCTATGGATCTATAATATTCTGAGTACTAAAATGGCTCTGTGACCTCGCTGATTTGAAATGAATGTAGAGTAATGAAAATTTTTGCCCCATTAACTCTTTAAAAAATATTTTAAGATAACATTTTACTAATGGTACAAACTTCTTTTGGTTGCCACTAAAATATTATTATTAAAAATAATTACATTTCAGTGAGAATAAAGTGATTGAATATGCTTCATTCTTTCAACATTCATTTTTATAAGATATTTAGTTCCAAATTTTTTCTCCCTCCTTCCTCTCCCTTCTCCCCAAGACGGCATGCAATTTGATATAGGCTATACTTGTACAATCATGTTAAACATACTTCCACATTAGTCATGCTGTGAAAGAAGAATCAGAATCAAAGGGAAAAACCACGAGAAAGAGAAAACAATAAAAGAGAAAATAGTATGCTTTGATCTGCATTCAAACTCCACAATTTTTTCTCTGGAAGTGGATAGCATGTTCCATCATGAGTCCCTTGGAACTGTCTTAAATCATTGTACTGCTGAGAAGAGCTAAGTCTTATCAAAGTTGATCCTCCTACAATGTTGCTATCATTGTGTACAACGTTTTCCTAGTTCTGCTCACTTCACTCAGCATCAGTTCATATAAGTCATTCCAGATTTTTCTGAAGTCTGCCTGCTCATCATTTGTTATAGCACAATAGTATTCCACTACATTCATAAAGCACAACTTGTTCAGTCATTCCCCAATTGATGGGCATCCCCTCAATTTTTAATTCTTTGCTACCACAAGAAGAGCTGCTATAAATATCTTTGTACATGTGGGTTCTTTTCCTTCTTTTATGATGTCTTTGGGATACAGCAGTGCTATTGCTAGATCAAAGGGTATGCATAGTTCTATAGCCCTTTGGGCATAGTTCCAAATTTGAATATGCTTCATTCTTTTAAAAAATCTGAGTTTAATACTCTGTGATACAGCAATTTAAAGGTTTGCTTACTAAATTCAGTTCTTGTAAAAAATAAAATCTTATTGATATTTTCTTTTCTTATATCACCATAATTATCCCAAGTACCCTCTCCTTCCTAGAAAGCCATCTTATACAACAAAGAGTATATATATATATATATATGTATATATATGTGTGTATATATATATATGTATATATGTATATATATATATGTATGTATATATATATTGGCCTTTTGGTGAGGCAATCGGGGTTAAGCGACTTGCCCAGGGTCACACAGCTAGTACATGTCATGTGTCTCAAGTCGCATTTGAACTCAGGTCCTCCTGATTCCAAGGCTGGAGCTCTATCCACTATACCATCTAGCTGCCCCCAAAGAATATTTTTTAGAGAGGAAAAAAAGTCAGCACAACTGATTCATGCACTAAAAATGTCCAAAAGCACATGTAATGTGTTAACACCTGAGGACCTCTCACTTCCACAAAGGGTAGATTAAAGGTGTCTTCTCATATCTTTTCAATCAAGTTCTGCTTAATATATTTTTTTAATATTTTTTATTTTTTTGGGGGTGGGTTATCATTCTTTCCATTTACATTGATACACTTATTGTGCATATTGTTTCCTTGGCTCTGCTTACTTCACTCTGCCTCATTTCATATAGGTACTTCCATGCTTTTCTGTATTCATCACACACATCATTTCTTATAGCAGAATAATACTTCACCACATTCATATACTATAATTTATTTAGCCATTCCTCAATTAATGGGCATCTACTTTGTTTCCAATTCTTAGTTATCACAAAAGTGCTGCTATAAATATTCTGGAGTATACAGGGACTTTCTCCTTATTGGTGGGGTATAATTCCAGTAATAGTTCAAAGGATATGGACATTTTAGTAATTTTGTTCACATAATTCCAAACTGCTTTCCAAAGAAGGTGTACCATTTTACAGGTCCCCCAACAATGTATCAGTGTGACTATCTTTCCATAACATCTCCAACATTGACTGTGACTGTTTTTTGTCATTTTTGCCAATTTGCAGAGTGTAAGGTGAAACCTCAGTGTTGTTTTGATTTTCATTTATTTCTCTTATTATTAGTGATTTGGAGCATTCCTTCATGTCACTGTGAATACTTTACAATTCTTCTTTTGAGAACTGTTTGTTCATATCCTTTGACCACTTATCTATTGGGGAAGTTCCACTAACTTTTTTTTTTTTTTTTTTTTTTTGCTTAGGCAGTTGGGGTTAAGTGACTTGTCCAGGGTTACACAACTAGTAAGTGTCAAGTGTTTGGTCTGAGGCTGGATTTGAACTCAGGTCCTCCTGACTTCAGGGCCGGTGCTCTATCCACTGCGCCACCTTGCTGCCCCTCCATTAACTCTTAAAAGACTATCTAGCAAGCCACGGAGGAGTTGTGATCTGTTTAAGTGGAGAATGTACCATGCTCACAAAAATTATAGGATTAAATAGTATTATTTCAAATGTAATAGAGGGCAGAAACATTATGAGTATCAGAATCTTCCAAATTTAAGCAAAGTATAGAACATAATCACACTACAGTGGCACAGTAAAACTTTTCCCCCACCTCTTTCTTTTCCCGTCTATTCATTTCCTTCACTCTTTCTTTTCTTCTAAAAACATCAAAACATAACAAAATCACTCCTAGGCTTTTTACCTTATTTAACTCTATGACCTCTGAAGACATTAGGTTCAAAGGACACGCTTGTTACTTGTCCTACTAGAATGTATGTTATTCTTTGTATAGTACCTTCCAATTGCTCATATGTATTTACTTTTCAAAATGTTACTTTTGATTCCTGTTTTTGTATTTCAAAATTTCTACTAAGTTTTAGCATTTTCATCAGAAATACTTGGGAGTCCTCTATTTCATTAAGGGATTACCCCCCACCCCCATCCCTAAGCTTCTTTAGGCTTATACTCAGTTTTGCTGGATAAGTTATTCATTCTTGGTTGTAAGCCTATTCCTTTTGCAAATATTATATTCTAAGCTCTCCTCTCCTTTATCATGGTAGTTGGCAAATCTTATATGATCTTGATCATGACTCCTTGATACTTGAACTCTTTCTATCTGGCTATATGCTGTGAATTTTGACTGACATTTTGGGGAGTTTTTAATTTGGGACTGACAGGTAGATTCTTTCTATTTTCATTTTGCCTTCTTGTTCTAATAGGACTGGGAGGTTTTCATTCATGATTCCTTGATATATGTAATCCAAGTTCTTTATTTAAACACACACTTACACACCAGTCTTCTGGTGATGATTCTTAACGTTTTCTTTGACCAGTTTTTTAGGCCAATTGTTTTTGATGTGAGGTATCTTACATTTCCTTCTATTTTTTCTCCCATTCTTTTGTTTTTGTTGTAATACTTCTTATTTTATCTTATTTGATTTTTATTGTATCATCTTATTTTAACTTCCTTTTGGTCCATTCTATTTTTGAAGGGGTCTGTTACTTGAGCAAGGTTTTGGACCTCTGTACTGAGCAGTTAATTCTCTTCTCAAGTCTTTTATTCAGATTTCTCATTTCTTTTCTGATTCTTTCCTCTAAGCTCTCATTTCATTTGTAATATCATTTTAAAAACTCATTTCATTTCTTCCAGGAATTCTAGTTGACTCTGTCCAAGTTGCATTTTACTTTGAGGCTTTGCTTGAAGATGCTGAATTATTTTTTTTTCTGGGTTTGTGTCTTGTTTATTCCAGACTTCAGAATAATTTTTTTTTTTTATAGCATTAGTGTATTTTGTTAACTTATTTTTCCAGCCTTACTTATAGAACTGGGGCTTTGTGTTACGGCTGGACTAACCCTCTCCACTTCTTGAGATAATGCTGGGGTTTTGATCCTGATCTGTATTCTCCAGTGTCTTCTTGCTGCTGTCCTGAGGT